TTTTTTTTTTTTTTTTTTTTTTTTATTTTAATCAGCAGCTCCTGGTAGACGAAGAGGAAGACAAACCTACAGTCGTTTCCAAACCCTAGAGCTGGAAAAAGAATTCCTTTTTAACCCTTATCTGACCAGGAAGAGAAGAATTGAGGTCTCCCACGCCCTAGCCCTCACGGAGAGACAGGTAAAAATCTGGTTCCAGAACAGGAGAATGAAATGGAAAAAAGAGAACAACAAGGACAAATTCCCAGTTTCCCGACAGGAGGCAAAGGATGGAGAAACCAAAAAAGAAACCCAAGAGCTGGAGGAAGACAGAGCCGAAGGCCTGACAAATTAACTTCTACCTTTAAATTTTTACCACAGACTATTAAAACTAATGATCAACACATGCTGTTGGACACCATCTATTTTCTTTGTTGGAAAGAACTTTACCTGTATTTCAAGCTACCTTCATGTCACTGCTCTTGAGGTTTCTGCGCTTTGAGAGGGGCTTGGGTGTTAAAAAAAAAAGTTTCTAGTATCGAATAGAAGCAGCCCTTGAGCTGTCCTATGTAAGGGTAATTTGATACTGACCTTGTTGCTATATTTTTATAATGGTAGTTTTTAATGTCTGAGCTGGTGATTCGCCTCAACAACATAAACTTCCTAATGATTAGCGCTAAATAATTGAATATAAAATGCTTTATTAATCAAACAAGTGCACTTGAACACTTAAAATCATTTCTTTATGGTGAGTAAATTAAAAGAGATCTATTAATTTTTTTAAGAATTATGCCTGCAGAATATTTACTTTATGTTATTTGATTAAAACATATTTATGTTTTATTTCTGCTTTTATAATGAATGGTTCGGGTGCCTTTTGTTTACTCCTTAAAGGTTTCTTTGGGTATTTTGTAAATGTAATATCTCTGGGAAAAGTCTGGGCCAAATATTGAAAAAGCACATGTTAGCTGAAGAGTGTAATGTGTAGTTCGGCTCTGCAGCTTCCTTAAACTTGGGGAAAACGTTGGGCCAATGAGAAAAGTTTCAGGAAAGTGTCAAAGTTGACATTTGATAATTTTTCATAGTGTATACAAATTATGGCAATTTAATCATCTAGAGTGAATGAATACTTGAAAAGCCAATTATAACATTTTCACTCATTAATTTTTCACTCTGGCTAGTCGCCTTGTGGAATGCCCCTCATTTCTCAACTTGCTTTCGTTTTGAACTGCGCTTGGCATCGCCTGAAATCGCTAGGTCTCTGTGTTGTGGCCGCTGCTGTGATTCCGTTTCTCTGAATAGGTGCCATATTTATTTGTATTCCCTTCGCTCTGTTTGCACGCCCATTTTGAGCCAACTTGTGTGCGTCTCAGATGTCGGTTGGTACGTCCTCTGCTGTTCTCCAGGATGGCCTCACCTATTGAAACAAGCCCCGAGAGCAAATGCAGAAAAATCTTGAGTGTAAACAACCGCTCCAGAACATAGCTAGCTCCTTAATAAAGAAATGAATCTTTTTCTAGAGCTAGTGTCTTTGAGCGCCGCACATAACCCTTTCCCTGAGTCAGGAAATACCTCCTGGGCTCACTAGAAGCTGTAAAGCTTCTGTTTGATTTAAAAAAAAAAAAAAAAGTAGTGGGGATTACAGGCACTGCGCTGCTATAAAGATAAATAAATAAATGCAGGGGATGGGGTCTCTTTTTCATTCCAAACAGGGCTGGCAAGGCTATCCTAGCTTCCTCTTGCTGTAAATAACCTTGCCAAGGTACTGTGAAAGCTTTGAACTTCGCAAAGGATTCAGAGTTGTGGGCCCAGTGGGGGAAGACCCAGAGTCCAGGTTACACCACAGCTCATTCCGCTGAGCCTGTGCTGATGCTGGGGTTTGGGATGTGTTATTAACAAGATATCCATTTTCCATTGGAGGCTTCTCCTGCAGCTGCCATTTTATGAGGGAAGAGGAGGGGGAAGAGGGGTAGTGGAGAAGAGAAATTCAAGTGTACCAGTATTTCTGCCCCCCAAACGGACAGCACCTCATCAGATAGACATTGAAGAGCTCTTTGCTTTTTCTAGATGTTTTTATTTTTAAGGAGGTACATTTTGATTTCCAAAGTGGTTTTTATTGCACAGGTGAAAAAAAAAAAAAACAACCTGGAATCTGTTTTGGGCCTGAATCAGCCCCCCAGGCATTGGGGGGCTATTTGCCTGCCACTTCAAGGACCGGGGAAATGTCGGCATGGGTGGGGCCAGAAGTGAGGCACCACCTAGCTTTCTATCCAGGGAAGAGGCCCTGGCTGTGGCATTCGCTGACCTGAGCCAGAAAAGACAATTTTAAGTCACGGGCGGCCTGCGGCTTAAGAAACATTTGCACAAGAGGAGACAGCTGCAAATGTCCGTGCTGGATTTGGAAACGTTCTGCTGTGTGCCGCCTGAGACTCTGCTGTTGGCTTCTACAGAGCAAGGGTGCCAAGCGCCTGAAAGCGTGGCTAGAGAACAGCCTGTGGGGTGGGGGTGGGGGTGGGGGGCGATGACGGTGGCGGTGGTGGGGGTGGTGGTAGCAGCGGCAGTGGTGGTGGCAAGCTGGCTAGAGCTTCTCGCTGGCTAAACTCCGGTTGCCCTCCATTTAGGGGATTCCTCTGTTAGCAAAATTCGCGGTCTCCTGCTCAGGAATACTCCCCAAATACCAGTTTTAGAGTCACTGATTTGGGGCAAGACTCAGGTAGGAGACCTGGTACGTGAATGGATGTGGAGATGAAGGAATGAAGGGGAAGTAGTAATGTCCTCATTTCCTCTGTATTCTGTGTTGCTCTGGAAGTGTTGTACCTTCTTGTCCCATTGGCCCCAAATCCACAGTAAAATTGTAGCTCTTGTACAGAAAAAAACTCTGTTGCAGTAATTGGTGCATTAGAGAGTATTTGTACATACACAAATTTGGTATTCTGGGGGTATATATTTGGTGTATTTGTACATAAACATGGATTACATATTGCAGAAAGTATTGGTCATAAAAGTAGGTATATATGTTTCTTTTTGTAGCTGGGAAAATCATAGATCTGCTTCCAAATAAAGAGTTTGAGGAATTACACATCTGTCTCTCTCTGTCTTCCTCTCTCTCTCTCTCCCCCCCACACACACCCCACTGTCTTTCTTACAGTGGCTAGAAATCCCCCCCATCATGGTATTTCATGCAGCCGAGCACAGAAGATACCCTTCTAATTGGCTCAAATCTGTAAACATACGAGGGGTGCGGCAAAAAGCGAGCAAACATTTTTGCTGCAGAAATTTGCATAAACCTTCAGAGAATCCTTTGCAAACCCAGACGATGCTTTTCAGCCCTGGATTGCTTAGAGTCTGCTTAGAGAGGTCTGTAAACCGTTCAGAGAAAAGGACCCTCCAATGTTAACACTGAGTGAAAGAACCAAGCCTTCGAAATGATTTAGGTTCTCTGTTTTTGAGAACCAGGAACACACAAAAGAGGGTGTGGGTCTCAATGGTTTCTAGAGAAAAGTCAGTTCAGGGACTGCCATTTTGTGAGGTTCCACAAAGCCCAGCACACCCGCTTACCTCTGCACAGGAGAAAAAGTACAAATATGGCTGCCTATTCAACAATGCAATGTCTTTTTCCCATCCCTCCTTCCCCAAGCTGAAAAGGAGGGTCACAAAGCTCCGCTTTTATTTGGGCAGGAGGAAACTGACAATTGAGATTATTTCTTAGAATATTTTAGAAGTGAGCAATCTCTGTTCAGTTCCACATGTACAGACCAGTATAAAGTGTTCTAGCTTAGAAAGGGCCCCCAAAACTTGCCCCACGTATTTTTACACTTTTCTTACACATTTTCTTTTGTAATTAAAAACATTGTTTTATTATTCTTCAGTGCAGAAGGTGTTGCTATTTCACATCCAAGCTTGTGTCCTCTGCTTCCCTGGTGTTTGCTGAATGTTCCGGCATCTGGGGGTAGACAGGGGAATACAGAGAACATTTTAATGGACTTTGGCTACTGCTGTGGTTCCCTCCAGCAAAACTAGAGCACACTGTTTCTAGAAGGAATATGACTTTTGCTGACAGATGGCAACAGAATTCCTTTAATAAAAAACATCCAAGGTCATCGGAACCTTTTCAAGGGATACAAATGGCCTGCTCCAGAGGGTGCTATGTATTTCCTGCTTAAGTCTACGTCCACTGAGGTACTTACTGGGTGTCAGGATGTTAATAGCAGAGAACCTACACATACACATCCAATGCAAATATTTATAAATGCATTACTAGAAGTTCAAAGACAGTGTCCTTGAAAGCTTGGAGGGATGGGTTACCTCTTTCACACAGGTTCTGAAGCCTGGATGGCCATGCCTATGAATGCATTAATGATGAGGAGAATGCTGGGGACCTCAAGGACATTTACTTTGAGCTGGTGTTCTCTGCAGCAGCTCCTATCAGAAGTGCAAAAGGAATGGGATTCCTGCCTTTGAAGAAAAAAGACTATTTTTTTCCCCAAGGTTGAAATGGGGATCAGCTCTTTCCCCGAACAAATGGAACCCCTCTCCTCTTCAGTGTTGCATTGCGCAGGCTTTCCAATGGTCAAACATTTTGGGGACAAGGCAAGAGGGGGAAATTAAATTGCATAGAAATAAGAAGTGCACTTAGGGGAGACACAGCAAGGGGTTTCATAGGGGATCCAGAAAGACTGCTTCTCCCTTAACCCGGTACTGTCCAGGAGGATATTTCTGCCAAGATAAATTGCCAAGCATTGGGAGTTCAAACTGTTATCTTGGAGAACCTGACAAGCAACCTAAAACCATCACCAGGATTTGAGCTGGTTGGTACCTCTCCTACCCCCAGAAACCCAAAGAAATGGGAGGGACCCCAATTTATGTTGGAGAGGGAAAAGGGGACGGCGGCCTTTCTTGGCCTGCAGAGCCCAGGTTTTCTGCGCAAGATCGCTGGGGGGGCTGGCTTGCCTGCAGATAGATGAGAGGGGCAAAAACCGAAAGTGCTTGGCTGCCGCTCCGGAGCGGGCCTTTCTGCGAGGGGAGGGGAGGAGAAGCCAAGTGACCCGCGCAAGGAGAGTCAGAGGGGGGTGACTGCCAGGATCAACTCCCCGAGCGCCTGGGCAGTACACCGCATTCATTTCCCCTCTAACACAACGCCCTATTCAGCAGAGGTTTCGAGCCAAATCAAAAAAAGAGCAAAAGAAATACTTCCTAGAAGAGGTGAGAGTCAGGACCCATGGAGGCAAGAGACGCAGAGACAACAGAGGGGAGCAGAGAAGAAGAAAGAGGAGAGGAGGAAGGAAGGAAAAGGAGGAGGAAGAGAGAGAACAGAAGAGAGCGGGGAGAGAAAGAGAGGAAAAAACATGGCGCTTG